TATATGTACATGTATATGTATATATAGAAATATAGAAAGAAGCTCTGACCCACCCTCCCAAAACTTCTGTTAATATCCTGACTACCATATACATGGAAAGGACTTACTTCCCCAATAAGCCAGGGAAATCAAATGCTGAACTTTCAGATTACTACTAAGTTTTTCCACCCAAAAAGTTCAAAGCTTGGGTATTGGAAATGCCTAAACCCTAAACCCTAAATCCAAAATCCTTCAGGCCCTTAAAAGAAGCCCAGCTCTTCTCAAATCCTCCTGAAACACAGAAGTGGGTTTAGGGTTTAGGGGCTTAGGGATTTAGGGCTTAAGGTTTAGGATTGAGGGGTTTGGGGTTTAAGGTTTAGGGGTTTAGGGGGTTTGGGTTTAGGGGTTTAGGGGTTTAGGGTTTGTGGTAGGGTTGAGGGTTTCGTGTGCATGGCATGCTGAGTCTTCGGGTGTTTTAACCTAGCACAATCCAGTCTACTGAGTCTGCTGGAGACCTATGTCCTAAACCTTATCGTGCAATAGCTGGAAACCCGAAACAGGATGATTCGCACACAGTCACCCTACTGTTTGCTTTCAGCGCATGAGGACAGGTGGTTTCCGACTTTGTGGCAGCTCCTGAGCCCTCAGTCCTGAACCCTAAACCCTTGTAGAACCCCTTGTATACCCCAGAACCCTTAGACTTACTTCACCAAGAAGCCAGGGAAACAGAAGGTCAAACTTTCAGATTTCTACTAAGTTTTCAAAACCCAATTTTTTTTTATAAAGGTTGGGCATTGGTTTAGGGTTTAGGGTTCAGGGTTTAGGGTTGGGTATTGAAGAACTTAGTAGATCAAACCCGAAACCCCTCAAAAGTCCGCTCTCCAGGCGGCCGGGGTCTCGCCCTCGCTTGGAAGCATGGTGGTGGCCTCGGAAACTCCAGGGAAGGTCTCTAGAGACGTCAGGTCAGGGCTTCTAAGCTGGGTAGGGTTTAGGGTTTAGGGTTTAGGGTTTAGGGTTTAGGGTTCCGGGCTTCGAGGGTTGGGGATTGCTGATGGATTTGGAATTTCCTGCAACCTTTCAGCATCAGCAGTCGAGCAAAACACTAACCCCCGCCGGCAAAAACATCCTTTCCCGTAGCATCAAAATAGCCCAAAGCCTTATATAATAGGGTCTGTGGGCCTAAAAGCCTCAAAAATCTGAGTCCCTTGAGGGTGAGGTTTTGAGATCCGTTTTCAGCCTGGGCGTCTAGGAAACCTGCTGGTTCCCCAGTACCTCCCCGAATAATAAGG